CGTAGATTTCAGCATTATAAGCTTTCCATAGTCCCCATGCAATCATCCCTGGGAGTATAGAGTGGATTTTGTCCATAAGTTTTATTCTGCACGTACCAAGCCACCAGTTCATGCATACGTCGTGGATGGTGTCCCCCCTTTGAATGACAGGCCCGTCAAATAGGGTGGAAAAAAACCTCCAAATCTTTTGTGAGAGCCTGCACTGGTAAAGAGTGTGGTTCAAGTTTTGGGGACCATTGTGGCAGAAGTTACATCTAGAGGGAATGGCAATGTTGAATCTGGCTAGGTTGTCTGGGAAAGCCAAGAGATTGTGAAGCTATTATTTTTGAATGCCTGTGGGGTTAGTTCCTCCCTCAGCAGGCTCATATTCCTCAAGAGGAAACACAGCCTTCACTTCCTTTGTGTTATAGAACCCATCACAAATGCCAACCAACTTGAAATCTTCAGGCTTCATTTTGGTTTTTCTAATGCAATTAGTTCCTCAAATAACAAGAGATGGATCTTCTGGGATAATGACCATCTTTCTCTTACATCTTTCCAAGACAGTAACCAAGTTTCACACTGCCAGTTCATTCAAACTTTCTACCAAAACCCAATCCTTATATCCTCAGTTTATGCAGCCCACACTATACATGAAAGAAGAGAACTTTGGAGTAATCTTCAAGACACTAGCAAGGTCACTCGCCAATGGATTGTTGGGGGGGATTTCAACACTATTGCATCCCTCTCGGAATTTAAAGGAAAATGCATCCCAAACACTCAAGGAGTGGAAGAATTTGCAGAATGTATTTCTAACAGCAACCTCATCACTCTTGACCCACAGGGGGGCTTATTCACCTGGTCTGGGATTAGGAGCCAAGGAAGGACTTGGAGGAGACTGGATAGGGTACTGACAAACCTGCCACTCCTAGCTTACTATGATGAGGTCTCACTCAAACACCTATCCAGATTCAACTCTGACCATAAACCACTCTTAGTCCATTGCAGTAAAGCCAATTCCACAGGTCCAAAATCTTTTAGGTTCATTAATGCTTGGACTCTCAATGACTCCTTTCACACTCTGGTAAAAAACACCTGGGATTGCCAGCCTACTATTGGTGGAATGAGGGGTTTAGCCAACAAACTCTTTAGCCTTAAAGCAGCTCTCAGAACATGGAACAAGGAAGTGTTTGGGAACATCTTCTCAAAACTATAAGAAGTAGAAGACCAGTTCATCAAAGCAGAGATGGATTTTGAAACCAATCCTACCCAGCAGAATAGAGAAACAATGCAGAAAGCCAATGCAGACCTCATCTATGCTACCAATCTGGAGGTACAATACTGGAAACAAAAGGCAAACATCATATGGCTTGATAAGGGAGATTCCAACTCCAAACATTTCCAAGCATATGCCAAGGGAAAGAGAAAGAAACTCTCTATTTCACATGTTATCAAATCCAATGGTACAGGCACCAGCAATCTTTCAGATATCAAATCAGAAGCCATCTCCTTTTTTGCTAACAGTTTCAAAAAGTCCCACCACCCCTCCTTTGACCAAATCCTACCCCTAATCCCACAGACTCTAACCAGTGAAGACAACTCCAAAATTTGTGCCATACCCACTTTGGAAGAAGTACATCAGGCAGTTTGGGACCTAGATGGAAATAGTGCAAGTGGGCCAGACGGTTTCAATGGAAATTTTTTCAAAGCTACATGGGACATAATCAATTTGGATGTTCTCACTGCCTCTCAGGAATTCTTCATGGGTTTACCAATTCCAAGAGCTTATGGCATCACTTACTTGTCACTTATTCCAAAATCAGATAATCCAAGAACTTTTGATGATTATAGAGCTATATCCCTCTCCACTTTCATGAGCAAAATCAATACCAAAATCCTAGCAGGCAGGCTCAATTCCATCCTTCCTAAGCTTATCTCTAAGGAACAAGCAGCCTTCGAGAAAGGTAAGTCCATTGATGACCATATCCTCATGGCACAGGAAGCAGTCCATCTCATTGACAAAAAGACTTTTGGGGGTAATCTAATTCTCAAGATGGATATGGCAAAAGCGTTTGACAAACTGGACTGGGAGTATCTCGAAGCCTTACTACAGTCTTTTGGCTTCAATCAACTTTCCACTTCTCTTCTTATGGCTAATCTTAAAGGAAGTTTTTTCAGCATTCTTCTCAATGGAGAGCCAGCAAGATATTTCAAAATGGAGAGGGGTGTAAAACAGGGAGACCCACTCTCACCTCTCTTATTCATACTTGCAGCAAATGGTTTCAGCAGACTCATCAACCACCAGATGAACACACAACACCTCCTCAGATTCAATTCTGGTCAAGTCCCTTTCCCCTCCCACCTTATTTATGCTGATGACATTATGATCTTTTCCAGGGGTGAAACCAGAAACCTGCTCAAGCTCAAGGTCACTCTAGAAACTTACCTTAAAGCATCAGGCCAAGAGATCAATCTTAATAAGAGTAAATTCTACACATCAAAGAACACAACCACCTCCCAAACTCAGAACATGGAGAAAGCTTTAGGAATCAAAAGAGGAAAGTTGCCTTTTACCTACCGAGGAGCACCTATTTGTCGTGGGATTCTGAGGAAAGAACACTGCAAGGAAGTCCTAGGACACTTTGAAAAACTTATCCAATCCTGGTACAGCAAGACCTTAAACCAAATGGGGAGGCTTATCCTTATAAAGCATGTCCTTTCATCAATACCCTTACACATCCTAGCAGTGCACACTCTTCCTAAATCCATCACACAAACCCTCACTAAATACATGGCAAACTTCCTTTGGGGACAAAAAGATGGGGCACAGAAATACCACTGGATTAGATGGAGACAACTAACAAAACCTAAGGAAGAGGGGGGCCTAGGTATCAAAAGCTTAGAGGATCAACATCAAGTCTACACACTCAAGCTTTGGTGGAAGGCAAGAAATGACATGGGGATCTGGGGAGCCTTCGTGAGAGCAAAATACATGAAGAAAGGAGCCATGAAGGAGAAGATTACAGATTCCCCTACCTGGAAAGGATTTGTAGATCAGACGAACTTGCATCCTCTCATACCACCACAATAGGTTCTGAAGCGTTCTGGGAAGGAAGTACTTTCAGCCTCCAGGGAGCCTATAAGGTAATTCAAGAGAATGGACCAAAATTGCTGTCTTGCAAATACATCTGGCACATTTCCAACATCCCAAAAATCAGGATCTTCTTGTGGAAACTCCTCAACGGGGCACTACCCTTTCCTCAAAATCTTGGCAGATTTGCCTCCTCCCTACCAAGCATGTGCCCTCTCTGCAAAAACAACAATGATGACACAGACCACTGCCTACTCCACTGTCCAACGGAAATCACGGTGTGGAACAAGCTGGCCGCCCTCTCGAATGGCCCAAGAGTTAAAGAGAACACTACTCTACGTCAACACCTCCTTGCATGGTGGTTTGGAAGCAGCACTAAAAACTTCAAGGGAACCCTTCGTATCATTTTCCCAGGCCTTTGCACATGGTCCCTATGGAAGGCACGTAACTCTAGTCTTCACAACGCAACCATTCCAACAGCAGAGGGAATATTTCAATCCTGCCTCAAGACACTCCAAGCATGGGCATACCTCAATAGGAGCAAAAAATGGATGGTGCATGATGCAGACTTCATAGGTTTGGGGATTGATTCCTTCTGGCGCAATGGTCGAAGATTATTAGCTAGAACTTTCGAATAAGTTTGCTTTGTATCACCTACCTGACCTTCTTGTACCTTTGTCTCTTGTTTTTTTACTAATAAATGCATTTACCTTTTATACACACACACACACACACACACACACACACACACATATATATAAAGGAAATTATTATTAAGGGACAAGCCCAAAAGGAATTACAAAACAGGGAAGAGAGAAAACGAAGATGATGCTCTAAGCATCCTAAAACGAAAGTACAAGAGAAAAATGGAAAAAAACCCGGAATAACGGACCAAAACAGTGAACACGAGTTACACCCAAAGAAAGCTAACGGTCAAACCGTACAATCCAACCTATCACCAGCCCACTAATCGGTTCCTACCATACTTCCAGCGCCTAAGAAAGTATTCAAAACCATAAATGCACCCAGTACTACAAATCCCCATGGCCTAAGCCTGACCTGAAAGAGCGCACCTGAAGCGTAAAATGCCGTTAAAAAAAATTAACCATGTGTGTGTGTGTATATATATATATATAATTTTTTTTAAAGGAAACTTTATTGAATGGGAAAAGGAAATACAAAGTGTCGTGTCTCCATCCATTTCTCCAGAAGATATCAATCCCCCAGCCATTGAAGTCCTCGTCTTTGACTAGCCACTTTTTGTTTCTATTAACCCAACACCATCCTTGCACAAGTTTGTAGCATTGTTGAATTAGTGAAGCTGTAGTGGCTAATGTCCCTTCGTGGATAGATGTGTTACGAGCCTTCCAAAGGACCCAAGCAATGATTCCTGGGAGGATGAGCCTTAGGTTTCCTTTGAAACTTCGGTTGTTGCCACTAAGCCACCAGGAGATCAAGTGTTGACGTAGCTGGTTGCCAATGCGCCTTGGTGGTCCTGAGAGAATGTGTCCGAAGTAATCCCAATGTTTGGCGCGGCATGGACAGTGAAGTAAGACATGGTCCATGGAGTCTTCTCCTGCCTGGCATAAGCTGCATCTGCTAGTGAGGGCTAGATGGAAGCGTCTTAGATTATTCAGGAAAGGGAGAGATTTGTTTAGGCACTTCCAAAGGAAAATCTTGATTTTGGGAATTTGTGTCTTGTGCCAAATGAACTTGCTGGTAATGGTGGTGGGTAAGCTTTCCTCTCCAGCTTTGTAGGCTCTGCCAAGACTGAAAGAACCCCCATCCCAAGTTGTGCCTCTTACCGAGGTGTGAGTGTGAGCTGACCCTATGGCATGAACCCTGCATATCCTTTTCCATGAAGGAGAATCTGTTATTTTCTCTTTAATTGATTCAGACTTCATATATTTTGCTCTAACAAAGGGACCCCAGATACTCTGATCGTTTTGGGCTTTCCACCATAGCTTCAGAGAATAAGCTTGTTGTATTTTCTCAAGGTTGCAAATGCCAAGACCCCCAGCTTGTTGAGGTTGACAGATGTGATTCCAGTTTCTCCAGTGGTACTTTGGTCTCCCATTCTTTTGCCCCCAGAGGAAGTTAGCCATTAACGGGTAACATGTAAATTATTATTACCCAAATCAAACGAATACAAAATGTCAACAACTTAACCACAAGGTGGTTACTTGCTTAAGTTACACGTATATAAAAGAAATTACAACTCAAGTGTAACAAATACAAATACAAAACACTAACAAATACAAGTGTAATCCAGCCAAGACCAAGATTAGGAGGTTGTCTTAACACGAGACAAACATCTCCATTACATCAACGGGTAACATGTAAATTATTATTACCCAAATCAAAAAGGTACATCAATTCTAGTGCCAACCACAACACGGTTACAAGCACTAATCACAAAATCTAAAAAAAATACATCCACACACCGTCAAACACGAAACACAAATGAAAATCAAAAAAGGCAACAAACTGCCCAATGGCACGCAGGCCTCAACAAAAAGAAAGTAATCCACTTTTTGATTTTCGTCCTCATCTTCCTCGCAATTTCAACGTGCACTGACCAAAGTGAAAGGCAGAGCTTGATTGCCCGCTCCAAGATACAGGCCAAAAAAGCTCTACACCCAAACCAAGTGAGTCCAGACGTGCTACCCAAGTGTTGTACAGTCGAGTCCAAAGCAAGTCCAAAGAGCTCCATGGCCGGGCATGCTCCATTGTATCCACACTACGATCACCCCCCTATCTGTTGTCCTAGTGAAACTGGGACGACGAAGGCTATGTTCTGAGTTCACGATGTCGTCCACCCTCGCCAAGGAAGACAACAAAGTGCCAAGATCACCAGAGAAAGCTCTGACCATTCAAGACGGCATAAAATGATTGGCTATCATCCTCCAACTGACCGGGTAAGAGTATCGCTAGGATGTCCACAACAAGAGAACAAGAACCAGCGAGATCCTCCATCATGCGTACCAAAACTACCCCATCATCAACAGCGCCACTCAAGCGAATGCCGTGGACATCAAAAACAGGCATGATCCATAAGCAAGGACCAGGAAGTTGCCCTTAGAATCCCCTAAGCAGTAGGGAAAGCCACAGTAAGGGGGGACCCCAAGGCTCCAAGAACAAGTGGCTAAGGACCAACCGTCCATCACAACTTCTCCCAAAAGCAATAACCAATTTTAGTCCTCCACAGCCCAAAGTCAGTCTACAACAACCCAAATTCAGCAACTCCACCTCAATTGGTACCAACCAAAATCAGCAGCTCCACCATGTTCAGCCCATACACAAAATAGAACCAAATTCTAGGGGAATGCAGTTACGATATTGCATTACTGCCAAGGTCAATGGCTGCAGGAAAGCCACTGTCCAGGTAGCACCCACAATCACCAATAATGAAGCAAAGTCCATAGCAAGGTTGACCATGCAGTCCTACCAGCAGGCGCAGTCATACCCAAGGCACAAACAAGGCACAAGGTTACTAGCTCCCTCCCCAACATCAACTTCCACACAACACAACTGTCAAGGGTTCAAATCAGTCCCTACCTCATGCAAATGAGGTAAGGTATGACAAAGTTGAGTCTTCAGGAGGTTGAGGGAGAGGTGGAACTTTCACGAAGACCATTATACCAGGGTAGATGTTCCAACATCATGAACTCACGAATTAGCAGCAAAGGATCAACAAAATCAGCCCAAAAACAGCATTTTACTGGCCAAGTTATTAATGGGCAGGAAGCCTGTAATCCAGCCCCTGGAAGTGGCCAGACCTGCGCAAATGCCAGCCCAAAACCTGCCCAATAGACCATATTGTTCCATAAACCAAAACAGCCCTGCAAAATGGTCATTTCAATCATGAAACCCAATGCATCGCCCAGCCATTCATGTGGCAATTGAGCATAGTCCAAAGCAGTCCCACAACTTCTCAACAGCAAAAAACATCAACAACAGAAATTGACAAAGCGAAAACCCCCTAGAAACCCAAAACAGCAGTGCAAATGCTTTTGAGCTCCATTTCCTCGTGCGTCACATCTCTAGATATTCAAACACAGTGGTACCAAAAACTGGAAATGCTTCCCAATTCCAGTCCCAATTCACGTCCAAAAATGCAGCAGCATCAAACAAAAGCAGCTCCAAGCATTGGGCTGCTGGTACGTACTCATATAGCAACACCAAAAACAAAATGGAAAACCACAAACAGCAGGTGGTTGGTTCCAAAATCATACCCCACAGAGAAATAAATAATAATTCACAAGTAGTTATCAAAAATCGATCAAAAATTTGATACAATTCAAAGACCCCAGTAGCTCTGTGAACAGTGACTACGATTCCCAAATGCCAAAATTCAAAGTGAAAATCAAATGGTGTTGAAATCCAACTTCATAAGATGGAAGAGGATTACAAACCGCTCAAAAAAACCAGAAGAGTAGTCACCAAAATGCTCTGGATCGAAGTGAACCCATGAGACAAAAATCGCGATTTGAACAGTACCAGGCACCCCGTTGACCTTCGTTTTTCCATAAATTCATGACCAAAATTAGCAAAATAACCTCATAGATAGATTCACCAGCTGAAGCCGCATCCAAGGCTCCAAAAATCACAAGAGCGGAGCTTCAATCGATGGAGGAAGAGAGGATCTTCAACTCGCGGTACTGTTCACTTCGGGGTCTAGAGAGAGAAACCCCAGCCTCCATTGATTAACATCTCCATTACATCAAACACAATTTGAAACAGGTGTACACCGGCAACACAAGGTGCACTGACTAGGCAAGGACCATTCCATTCCACATGCAAAACCATGCCGAGTTCATTTTCCAACAGCTTCGAGCAAGAGTAGACAAGAAGCATCAGGCCCTAATCACAATATAATAATGTACAGCATCACATATATACTTAAAGCACACAGCATCACGCACACAGCATCACATCACCACAAATCCATGTACAGATATCTAGGTAGTAGACAGAGATGAAAGACCATTGAACAGGTGAAGCAGGCTGAACTCCACGTAGGCCCTCCAACTCTGGTTAGAGTCTCAAGACACAAAAACAGCAGAACCAAGTCCATCAGAGGTTGAGAAGCACCAAAGGACCATTTGCACCGAATAGGACCAAGTCAAAACCTGTCTCACACAAATGAGGTAGGGTGGAGTTATTCAGGCATAAGGTGATGGTGCTCATCTCTGATGAGAGGGATCACAAAGCAAAGCCAGAGATATGTTAACCAAGTCACCCACATAAATAACCAAAATGAAACCATAAAGGTAGGGGGAGGCACGCCAGTTTACAGTCACTCAACCAAAGGAGGGTATAGGTGAGTGCATCCAGATGTGTTCCCAGAGACAGAAGAAGGAGGGTAAGGAAAGAGAGAGGGGCAAAGGAGGAGGAAGAAGCAAAAGAAAGGAGAAGGGGAAGAGGGGTGGACAAGGAACAGGAGAGGTGTGGAACACCAACAAACCAGGACCCAACTCAACCTCTAACTACCCAGAAGGGGTAAATAGAGGTTGGTTTGTTTCCTCACAACCCCACCAGTCCACAGAACCAATGGGGCCCCAACCCACCCAGCACCAGAGGGAAGACACACCAACCTTCAAACATCAAAACAAAGAGGGTTTGGATGAGTGAAACTTAGCGTGTTTCCAGAAACAGAAGAAGGGAGAAAAGAGGAGGAAGACCAAGAAAGAAGGGAGAAGCAAGAAGAAGGAAGAAGGGGAGAGGGGGAAAAAGAAAGAAAAGAGGGTGAGAACACCCTCCAGCCCTGGATCCAAGCCATTCCCTACCTATCCAGAAGGGGTAGATAGGGTTAGGGTATGGTTTGTTTCCACACCCCAATAGCACCCAAGCTATCAGGAAGTTAGCCATTAAGGAATGAAGGGAATTGGATATGGATTTGGGAATGATTCGCACGGTCAGAATATGAAGGGGAATGGAATATAGGACGTGCTTGATGACAACCGGTCTACCCATTTGATTGAGTGTTTTGCTATACCAAGAGAGCAAATGCTTGTGAAAGTGTTACACCAGTCTTGAGCAGTCTTCCTTTTTTGGTTTGCCCTTGTTGAGTGTTGCTCCCAGATAGAGAAAAGGAAGTTCTCCATGTTTCATACCTAGTGCTTTCTCCATATTCTGGATTTGAGATGAGTGAGTCTTTCTAGAGGTGTAGAATCTGCTTTTGGAGAAGTTGATCTCTTGCCCTGATGCTTGCAGGTATTCTCCAAGAATGTTTTTAAGTTTAAGGAGGTTCCTCGTGTCTCCTTTGGTGAATATCATAAGGTCATCAGCATAAATGAGGTGGCTAGGGAATCTGACACTACCTACATTAAATCTTTGAAGGTGGTTAGTGTCAGCATAGTGATTGAGCAGCCTACTGAGTCCTTCACCTGTAATGATATAAAGGAGGGGGGATAGGGGGTCTCCTTGTTTAACTTTCCTGGACATTTTAAGGAATCCATAAGGTTCTCCATTGATAAGGATGCTAATGTTGGTTCCTTTGAGATTAGCCATCAAAAGATTGATGGACTGGTCAGAAAAACCAAACGCATTAAGAATCCCCTCAATGAAGCTCCATTTCATTTTATCAAATGCTTTTGCCATGTCAATCTTGAAAATGGTGTTGCCTCCACACACCTTTTTGTCATTAATGTGTATAGCTTCTTGGGCCACCAGGATGTGATCATCAATGGATCTCCCTTTCTGAAAAGCAGCTTGCTCGGGAGGTATGAGTTTGTGAAGGAGGATGTTAAGTCTGTTGGATAGAATTTTGGTATTGATCTTGCTCATGAAGGTGGAGAGGGAAATAGGATGGTAGTCATCAAAGCGTTTAGGGTTCAAGCATTTGGGAATAAGAGTTAAATAGGTGCTTCCATAAGCACAAGGAATGGGTCTGCCAAGGAAGAATTCTTGGGAAGCAATGAGCACATCATTTTTTATTGTCTCCCGGGAGGTTTTGAAGAAATTCCCATTGAATCCATCCGGTCCACTGGCGCTGTCACCGTTAAGTTCCCAGACAACATTCTTCACTTCGTTCATATTTGGGATGGCACTCAACATTATGTTGTCCTCCATTGAGATAACATTGGGGATCAGGTTAGTGATGGTGCTGTGGGAAGGGGTGTGGTTGGAGGTGTAGAGGTTCTGAAAGTGTTGGATGGTCTCCTCTTTAATTTCATTGGGTGAAGAGGTACCTCTACCTCCAGAGGTCATAATGTGCTTGATAGAAAGTTTCTTTCTCTTTCCCTTGGCATAAGCTTGGAAGAGTTTGGAGTTTGCATCACCCTTATCGAGCCACTTGATGTTGGACTTTTGTTTCCAGTATTCCACCTCCATATTTACAACTTTGATGAGTTTAGGCATTGGATAGTTGGGCAGTGATTCTGTTAGAATCTGTAGGGTATGTGTCATAGAGCTGTTGGGCATTAGAGGCTTCCTGCTCCATGGCTTTGAGTTTGTGGAAAATGTTACCAAAGGTGGTTTGATTCCAGGCCTTTAGGACTGTTTTTGTTGCTTGCAATTTGGAGATTAGACCTCTCATTCCTCCTGCTGTTGGAGATTTGTACCAAACCCCTCTTATAGTCTGTCGGAATGTCTCATGCCATATCCAGGAGTTAAGAAATCGAAAGGGTTTAATACCTCCAGTTTGTTGGTTGATGCAATGAAGCAATAAAGCCTTGTGGTCAGAGTTGGCTCTTGAAAGATGTTTGAGGGTTATATCCTCAAAAGAGTTCATTACATCAACATTTAAGAGGATTCTGTCCAATCTTCTCCAGGTTCTTCCTTGACTTCTAACCCCTGACCATGTAAATATTCCACCTTCTGCATCTGGACATATGAGTTTGCACTGAGAAAGGAAAGTGTTGAAGTCATTCATGCTTTGCACCCGTGGGGAGCAGCTTCCCTTACATTCATCAAAAGAGGTAACTGCGTTGAAGTCTCCCCCAATTATCCATCTCATATCTTGAGGGCAGATTTCTTGAATATTAAGCCAGAGCATTGTCCTATCCTTGATTGTATGGGCAGCATACACTGAGGAGATGCAAATAGGCTGGTTGTCAAAGGAGTAAGTGAAGATACATGAAGTTATTTGGTCTTCTTCCGTATAGGAGATAAGGTTGAGACTTTCGTTGTGCCAGAATAGCCATCTCTTGTTGTTGGTGGAAGAAAGACAGTTTGAAAAACCAATTTTGAGTCTATACTCATCCAAAAGGGAGTTATTAACAATGTTAGAATAAAGGCCCAACGCTAGAGGGGGGCTGAATAGCGTTTAAAACAAAATCGCAGGAAATTAAAACGAGAGCATTAAAGTAAAGAGCGTAAGGAAGGAGCACACCGAATTTCATCCTGGTTCACCACAACGTGTGGCTAATCCAGCTTCCCGAGAGACTCTCTGAGCTACACTAACTCCGTTAAGCTTAAGAGTGCTTAACAAACCGATACAACTTGAGAACCCGAGTCACACGAGCCTCAAACTCCTTTGCTCGGAGATACCGCACTCCAAGACTTCTCACGAAGGAACAAGGAACTTCCTTCGAGTTTACAACAAGGGAACAACCTCCCTTAAAGTGTATGAAAACACTTAAACACTCAGAAATAAAACTCTCACAAAGAGTAGATATGAGTGAACTAGTAAACGCTCAAGAACACGACAATTTCTTCAAGAATTGGCTCTCAAATAGCTAAGAAAAGATAGGAATGCTTATGCAAAGAAAGAGTATTGAAATGTTGAAGAATTGTGTGTAAAATGAGAGGATTTGGGTGCCATTTTATAGCTCAAAATGGGATAAACCCGTTGCTAGAGTTTCCAACAGGATGAAGACAAATTTTTCAGACACAGGGTGATAGTCGATTGTCAAAGCTTGATAATCGATTATCCAAAGCTTCCCTGTCCAAAAATTTAAAATTCTATCCGTTAGAGGACAACGGTAACCCAGATAATCGATTGTCAACAAGTGATAATCGACTATTGGTCCTCTCAGAAGATTCTGGATTTTGGCTGCACAGACTGATAATCGATTATTGCAAATTGTGATAATCGACTATTGCCTGCTTCAGAACTTTGGAGTTCAAAGCTGCAGAGGCAGATAATCGATTTTCACCAAAGTGATAATCGATTATAACCCAGCTAAAGTCTAGCCAGCTGAAACCCGTTTTGAAAAACCGATCTCCAAAAACGAAGTATTCCCAAAAGTAAAAACCAGGTTTGAAAAACATTGTATATTGTATAAAAAAGTGAAAACAAGACTTGTTCGGTAAAAACCAAGTCTCCAAGGTCGTACATCACGTGCGTACGGTTTTGACCGTTTTTCACGTGTTAGACCGATTGACCAAGATACAAAAGTGGTTTTTATAAAATAATTATTTGGGAACATTTTAAAAATGCTCAGAGGTAAAACCGGGTTTAAAACATTGAAAACCACGGAGTTGGTTCAGGCGCCAAAAACCGAACGCCGAAAGCCAAACGCCGACCTAGGTGGTTTAGGTTCCGAGCAAGGACCAGGGATTTTAGTATAAAAAATCATCAAAAATATTTATTTTGATGCACAAAAATATTTTATGATTTGTAAAAATTGTTTTGACTCTTTGAGAACCGAGACTTGAATTTATTGTCGGTTTTGATCACAAAAGAGTGACTCGACTAAGTCTTCAATTCTTGATCTTGTCCTTGAGTCTTTTTGGTCTTGTTCCAAGCCATTCTTCACGCCTTGAGTTATTCAACGAAACTCTTCATATCCCCGGCGGTTTGACAATTATCAAAACCTGTCAGAAATGAACACGACTTTAGTTTATCGTACAAAGTGTGTTCCAACAATTTCCCCCTTTTTGATAATGGCAAACAAGACAGGGATATGCATGGGGTTTTGATTTTTTTTGAAAAAATTCCCCCTTAATAAAAATTCCCCCTTAATATATGCATAGCCCTTATCTTCCCCCTTTTGACATTAACAAAAAGATTTTTAATAACAAAAACCATAAAGATTTTTATTAATTAATTAAGGGAAATAGCGGAGTACATAATGAGAGCAAATTTAAAAAACATAAAAAGAATAAAGAAGAGAAGGGAATAGAGCTAGAGCTTTAGAAGTCTGGTGAAAGATATTGAGAAGCTGTTCTTCGTCAATGTCTTCATTTTCCTCTTCATCACCACTGCCATCATCATCATCATCATCGGATTCCGCTTCCTCTTCTTCTTCCTCTTCCTCATCGTCCACCTCTTCATCTCCCCCAACGTTATTAGTCCCGCTTGGTGCAACCCCGACATTCGGTGGAGGAGCGTAGGGGACCATTTGAGCGTAAGGGTAATTGACAAAGTCAAAGTACCCGTGAAGCTCTCGGCTCAAAATATTTACATTTTGGGCCGTTTGGGAGACGTTGGTGTCAATCCGAGAGAGAGTGGTGGTCAAGGCTGCCATTTGCTTGGCAAGAAAAGGGTTGGTCGAAGCGGCGGCGGTCGAGGCAGTGGCTCTCGGTTGGCAGCGAGGACGAGGCTGCGGGAACGTAGCTTCATCAGTTCTCGGGTGGAAGGAAGACTCGTCAATCTCCCAATGCTTCGTTCCTTTGCATTTTGGCCCGACGTCCGTCTTGATGTGGAACTCATCAAGGATCGCCATGACAAGGAGAGCATATGGGAGCGGCTGGTTGTCGAAGGTGGCATTGAACATGTGAGTCATCACAAATTTACACCAATTGATATTGGCGTTGTGAATCATCACATGAATTGTCTTCGTGTCCTCCTGGGAGAGAGTGGTGTGATTGAACTTCCTAGGCTTGAGAATCCGTGTCAAAATATAAAAAATGAATCGAAACACGGGACTCATGGAAGCAATCGTAGGGCGCCGCTGTTGGGGAGTGGGGATGAAGTTTCGGATACCCACTTCCTCCAAGAGGGCGGTCTCGTTGAACCGTGCTCCTTCTTCTCCGACGTAGAGCCTGAGATCCTGTCCGTCCCGACAAAGCCCGGTGAGAAATTGAATGTTCTCCTCATTCAAATAAATCTCCACCCCGTTGACGTTTGAAATCAACGATCCGTCCTCATCCTTTTTCAAGTTTGAGTAGAAGGCTCGAACAAGAAAAGGTTGATAGTTGTTCTTCTTGATGTAGAGTAGGTTGAGGAAGTTTCCTTCTTAGAGGATGACCCGTGCCTCCCGTGGAATGGAATCGTGAATGAAGCGTGCGGTGGAGAACCGGGGAGGGAGAATTTCCTGGTGCTCAAACTTCTCCGAGAACCTCGCAGCCTCTTCGCGGTCGTTGAACCAAAGGAACGACCCATCGAGATACTTGTGCGCCGGTGGTGGAGGAGCTGAGGATGAGGCAGCGTTCTTGCCGGTGCGGGAGCGCTTTCTTTGTCCTCCTACCATTTCAACAAAATAGGGACGAGAGCAAGGCAAATTTGCAGAGAAAATGAAGGAAAAATTGTAGGGATTGATGAAATATGAAGAAAATATTGAGAAGAGTTGATTGGGATGAGTAAAAATGGAATAGATATCACCAATTTATAAAGGAGCGGGCTGGAGATCCGTTGGGGAGTTCAAAACATGCATTAATTGCTCTCCAAACGGCTAGAAAACGGTCAGATTTTTGCAAATCTGCCGTTGTAAATCGATTAACATAACCTGTAAATCAATTATCGGAGTTTTCTGAATCTCCGCCGAAAGAACTGCAGGCTGCAATAGTCGATTTACACAATACGTATAATCGACTATCGATGGTTTGCGCCTGATTTGCTTCAAACTTCTGCGGGCAGTGATAGTCGATTATCCTAATGTTGATAATCGATTGTTGGCTCCTTCAGTTTCTTTGCTCCAATCTTCCGCGGGCTGTGATAGTTCATTATCACAACCTGTAAATCGATTTATACCAAGTCCGGAGACAAAAAATCGATTTACTTTGTTCCCCCTGACTTTGACACCTGAAAATAAAATTAAAAGAAGAGCCCTGCAAAAAAGAGTTAAAAACGTCTCCGACGTTCATGTTAGTAAGGATCAAAAATGATATTTAATCCACAACTTAGATCATTGTGGAGTCAAGGATTCCGAGTTCACTACGAATGCGGAAGAACAACTCTTTCTCTAAAGGTTTTGTGAAAATGTCGGCTAATTGGTTGTGTGTTTCAACAAACTCAATTTCGACATCACCTTTGTGAACATGATCTCTAATGAAATGATGCCTAATGTCAATATGTTTCGTCCTTGAGTGAAGAACCGGATTCTTCGTCAAGCTTATGGCGCTAGGATTATCACAACGAAGAGGGACGTGATCGATACTAAGGCCATAATCCACAAGTTGTTGCTTCATCCAAAGGATTTGAGCACAACAACTACCGACGGCAACATTATTTTTATGCTTCGGTTGTGGATAACGCAACACTGACTTGCGTCTTGCTAAACCATGAGACTAAAGAACTACCAAGCAAGTGACACGTCCCACTCGTACTTTTACGGTCTAACCTACAACCGGCAAAGTCCGAGTCGGAATAGCCAAAAAGATGACAAGGAGACCCTTTAGGGTACCATAGTCCAACGTTCATTGTACCAACATGATATTTTATTATCTGTTTCACCACCGTTAAATGCGATTCTTTCGGACAAGATTGATACCTTGCACATAAACAAACAATAAACATGATATCGGGTCTACTAGCGGTAAGATAAAGAAGGGATCTGATCATACCTCGATACTTCTTTAGGTCTACTTCCTTACCCTTTTCATCTTTGTCCAGGTGCTCGGAGGTGCTCATTGGGGTAGCCATTGCTTTGGAGCCATCCATTTCAAATCTCTTTAGGAGCTCCTTGCAATACTTTGATTGACAAATGAAGGTCCCTTCCCTCATTTATTTGACTTGTAACCCCAAGAAGAAATTGAGTTCCCCCATCATGGACATCTTAAATTCATTTGTCAAGTTTGAAAATTCCTTGCACAAAGATTCGTTAGTAGCACCGAATATAATGTCATCTACGTAAACTTGCACCAAGAGGATGTTATCGTTTTTACTCTTGATAAAAAGTGTAGTGTCAACCTTTCCCCTTTTGAACCCGTTGTCCAAAAGAAATTTGCTCAAACGTTCATACCAAGCACGAGGTGCTTGTTTAAGACCGTTGTAACACACCGGCCCCCACCCTAGCCGTAAGTGTCTGCTCATGCGCGCCCAAGTAAAAACTTCCCAGGGGGTCGCCCATCCTAAAATTGCTCCAGGTCAAGCACGCTTAACTTTAGAGTTTATAGGTGATGAGCTCTCGAATTAAAGATGCACCTTGTTGGTATGAGTAGTAGTGCTATCAATCCTTTTGAGCTCTTCTCATTTGTAACACCCCGGCCCCCACCCTAGCCGTAAGTGTCTACTCATAGGATTGTAGACTGGCCCCCACAAACCAACACAAGTCTTTCCCGCACACTTTGTCCTCACTCATGCGCCCAAGTAAAAATTCCCAGGGGGTCACCCATCCTAAAATTGTTCCAGGTCAAGCACGGTTAATTTTGGAGTTTTTAGGTGATGAGCTCTCGAAAAGCTCTCGAAAAGACGATGCAAGACGAGTTTTTAGGTAATTTTGGAGTTTTTAGGTGCTTTCTTTAGTTTATAGACATACTCCGGGTGCTCAAAATCCTCAAAGCCCGGCGGTTGATCAACATAAACCTCCTCTTGAATAAAACCATTGAGGAAGGCGCTCTTAACATCCATTTGGTATAGTTTAAAATCCATAGATGAAGCAAAAGCGAGTAATAAACGAATAGCTTCTAAACGTGCTACTGGTGTATAAGATTCTTCAAAATCAATGCCTTCTTCTTGATTGTAGCCTTTAGCTACGAGCCTAGCTTTGTTTCTAGTGATTGTTCCATTTTCATCGAGTTTGTTACGGAACACCCATTTCGTACCAATTATGGTGTGATCATCGGGTCTTGGCACCAATTCCCAAACGTCTTTTCGTTTGAATTGGTTAAGCTCCTCTTGCATTGCCAAAGTCCAATGTTCATCATCAATTGCTTCCGAAATGGTTGTAGGTTCAATTTGAGAGACAAAAGCCATGTGACCTACAGTGTCCCTAAGAGAGCTACGAGTACTTACCTTTCGGTTGATGTCACCAATCACCTTGTCAAGAGGATGGTTCTGTGAAGTCCTCCATGCCCTTGGAATTGGCGTTTCCTCCTCTTGTGGTTGTTCCTCGTTTATGAGTGGCTCTACTTCTTCATCTTGGCTTTCCTTTGAGTTTTCTACTTCGTCATCGTCGTTGAGATAGATGTTCTCCAACGAATCTACAAGATCATCACAAGAAACCTTTCTCGCCAAGCGAGCATCATTTTCGGCAAAGACAACATGAGGAGATTCCTCAACGGTTAAGGTGCGTTTGCTGAAGACTCTATAAGCCTTACTACGCAATGAATAACCAAGAAAAATTCCTTCATCCGACTTTGCATCGAATTTACCCAAATTATCTTTTCCGTTATTATGAACAAAACATTTGCAACCAAAGACTCGAAGATGGGAGAGGTTTGGCTTTCTTCCTTTGTATAATTCGTATGGGGTTTTCATGAGTATCGGTCTAATGACGGCTCGGTTTAACACGTAGCCCGCGGTACTCACGGCATCCGCCCAAAAATACTTAGGAATTTTTGCCTCATCAAGCATAGTTCCACAACGCCATTTTGTTGTGGTGTACGTGGAGCGGAGAAGTTATGCTCGATGCCTAGTTCGTCACAAAACTCGGTAAAGAGATCTCGTTCGAACTCTCCACCATGATCGCTTCGTATGGCTACGGTGGTTAAGCCTTTTTCATTTTGAACCTTTTTTAAAAAAGTTTTGAAAACATGAAAGGCCTCACTTTTATGAGTTAGAAATAATGTCCATGTGAATCGAGAGTAGTCATCAACAATTACAAAGGCGAAATAGTTTCCCCCAAAACTTTTTGTTCTTGATGGTCCAAAGAGATCCATGTGCAAAAGTTGTAGGGGCCTTGTTGTAGACACAACATTTTTCGATTTAAATGAGGCCCTTACTTGCTTGCCCTTTTGACTTGAATCACAAATGGTGTCCTTCTCAAACTTGAGTTTTGGAAGGCCAACTACTAGGTCTTGTGAAACCAATTTATTCAAAAGATTCATGTTGACATGAGNATTTTGAACCTTTTTTAAAAAAGTTTTGAAAACATGAAAGGCCTCACTTTTATGAGTTAGAAATAATGTCCATGTGAATCGAGAGTAGTCATCAACAATTACAAAGGCGAAATAGTTTCCCCCAAAACTTTTTGTTCTTGATGGTCCAAAGAGATCCATGTGCAAAAGTTGTAGGGGCCTTGTTGTAGACACAACATTTTTCGATTTAAATGAGGCCCTTACTTGCTTGCCCTTTTGACTTGAATCACAAATGGTGTCCTTCTCAAACTTGAGTTTTGGAAGGCCAACTATAGGTCCTGTGAAACCAATTTATTCAAAAGATTCATGTTGACATGAGCTACTCTACGATGCCATAGCGACATATCGTCCTCCTTACTCATGAGACATTTCGCAATGTCGGAGGGAGATTCATCTAAGTTAACCATGTAAATATTATCAATTCTATCACCACGAAGAATCGTCTTATTGTCACTAAGACGTTCTACTGTACATGATTTAGGATCGAAGGTCACACGATTTCCCTTGTCACACAATTGACTTATGCTCAAGAGATTGTGTTTAAGACCCTTAACCAACAAAACATTATCAATAGAGGAGTTTTTGTTTTTACCAACCGAACCAATGCCGATTATCTTGCCTTTGTTATTATCGCCAAAGACAACGTTTTCTCGGCGGCGCTGATGCTGACGGCGGACCTCTGGCGATGGAAGCAGCGGCGGCGATTGTCTGGGGAAGGGCGACCGGCGATGAGCGGCGTCTGGCTCGGGCGACGCCGGCGTGGTCGAACGGCAGGGAGGATGACCGGCGGCTGGCTCACGGCGGCGATCGAGAGCAACGAAGGAGAAGGTGACGCTGAAGTGCGCGGCTCTCAGATCCGAATGGAAGACGGGTAGGTTTAGGTTTATTTAATGATCCCATTCCTAAAAGGATTGGGCTTCGGACCCAAAATACCTGATTATATGGTCATAACATGAGCTCCAAAACTCCGATTCGCGAGCCGTCTGAATCGACGCGATCACAAAAATATTTCCTACGAGATGACATAAAAGTTGGGCTTAGAATCCAAATTATAATTTTAACCCCTTTTTAGGCCCAATTCGTAATCAATTGCTCTAACAATTTAATTAATTCTTTTGGGCCAGATTTCGGGGCGTTACATTTCTTCCCCCTTAAAAAGAATTTCGTCCTCGAAATTACCTGAGTCATTGGTCGTCGAAGAGATGAGGGTACTGAGTTCGCATAGATTCTTCGGTCTCCCAGGTTGCTTCTTCCACCGCATGATTACCCCATAGTACCTTTACCAAAGGTACCATCTTATTTCTTAGTACTTTAGTTTCGCGCGCCAAGATCTTAACTGGCTCTTCTTCGTAAGACAAACTCTCGTCGAGGGTTACAGCATTGGTCGGCAACACATGAATCGGATCTGAACAGTATCTACGTAGCATGGAGACATGAAAGATGTCGTGAATCCTGTTCAACTCTGGTGGCAACTCTAACCTGTAACCAACAGGTCCTATTCGCTCCAGAATGCGGTAGGGTCCAATGAATCTAGGGCTAAGCTTCCCTTTCTCCCGAACCGTAGGACCTTCTTCCAAGGTGAAACCTTCAAGAATACCATGTCACCAACATTGTACTCTATGTGTCGTCTCTTTAAGTCTGCATAAGATTTCTGTCTGTCCGAAGCAGTACGGAGTCGGTCTCTGATCACACGAACCTTCTCCTCGGTTTCCGGCACAATATCTGGTCCCTCGAGCTTACGCTCGCTAAGCTCTGTCCAACAAATCGGGGTTCGGCACTTTTTGTCGTAGAGTGCCTCATAAGGAGACATCTGAATACTCGCCTGGTAACTGTTATTATATGCAAACTCCATCAACGGCAAGTAACGCTCCCAATCTTCTCCAAAGTCGATCACACAAGCTCGCATCATATCCTCGACAATCTGTATCACCCTCTCAGACTGGCCATCGGTCTGAGGGTGAAATGTCGTACTAAGGTTCAAAGCTGTGCCAAAAGCCTTCTGAAGTCCTCTCCAGAACATCGAAGTGAACCGGGGATNAAGATGTCATCGATGAACACTACTACGAACTGGTCCAAGTATGGTCGGAACACACTGTTCATAAGCTCCATGAACACTGCCGGGGCATTAGTCAATCCGAAAGGCATGACTGAGAACTCATAATGCCCATAGCGTGTCCTAAAAGCAGTCTTCGGAATGTCTTCTCTCTTAACGGGAATCTGATGGTATCCAGAACGCAGATCAATCTTCGAGAATACTGTAGCCCCTCTAAGCTGGTCGAACAGGTCGTCGATGCGAGGCAACGGGTAACGATTCTTCACTGTGGCTTTGTTCAACTGCCTGTAGTCGATGCAAAGTCTCATGGATCCATCCTTCTTTCGAACAAATAACACTGGTGCTCCGCATGGGGAAACGCTAGGTCGGATGAATCCCTTTTCCAGTAGCTCTTGCAACTGAGCCTTCAACTCCTTCATCTCGGCAGGTGCTATACGATACGGTGTAGCAGATATGGGTTCCGTACCCGGAATGAGATTGATCGAGAACTCTACCTCTCTCGGCAAAGGCAAACCAGGTAGGTCTTCGGGAAAGACATCGGAGAAGTCGCAAACCGTACGGATTTCCTGCTGACGTGGTGATTCTTTTCACATATCCTGAACGTGACACAGGAACATCTCGCACTTCTTGCGAATCAAGCGCCTCGCGCTCAAGGACGATATGAACTCGGGAGCCTTGGGGAACACCTCCCCGGAGAGTGATACGTCGCTACTGTCCTCGGCCCTCAGCCGTACGGTCCGAAAACTACAGTCGACCACTGCTCTATGCTCGGTGAGCCAATCCATACCAAGGATAATGTCAAACTCCTTGTGTGGTAGCTCTATCAAATCTGCAGGGAATTGCTTCCCATGCACGGACAACGGACACCTATGATAAATGTGATGAAGACGCATGCTATGTTCTAGCGGATTCGATACAACGGTAGGTATCTCAAGGTCACTCCTCACGATCGCAGAATTAGCAGGCATGCCAACACAGATATAGGAGAGCGTAGAACCCGGATCGATCAAGGCATGCATAAC